AAGCCGCGTTGCCTGATGAAATTGCAGAAGGCAACTCCTTTCTCTCCTCTCTCCTTGGCATCTGGTGCTCCGAAACAAGAGTTCGCATCTCCTGTGGGATTTTTTTTCCCTCCCCTTTTTAAAAGGTTGGATTTTGGTTTTGAAGCCTAATGAAATAATATCCTGTCCCGAGTGAACCTGAGTTCACCAATTCCTGAGACGAGGCACAAGCGTTGGCCGTCCTCCAAAAAGTTTTTGTGAGCAGCTTTTGAGGGAAATGAGAACTGGCTGGACAAGAGGAGCATGGCCTGGCCCTGGCAGGGGCTGCACCCATCCGCTCGCCGTAATCAATTCGGGATCAGCTTGAAAGGAGCTGAGGTGCCTGGTGTGGCGCAGCCACCCATCACCTGCCCCCGTGAGCCCCGCTCGTTACGAGAAATATTTCTGTATGTCCAAAAGTCCATGTTTATTTTCATCAATGAGTTCCTTGACTTTTTCCCTTCTCTCCCCTCTGATATCGGAGGAATCTTTGGAGGGGGGGACAGGAAGAGGTTTCCCAGCTCCCCTGAGGCTGAAGCTGGGGAGCACGTGGGAATCCTGCCCCTCCGGCTGCTGGGGATTGGGGTGAGGGACGAGGATGGGGCTTTCCTTAGCCTTTGCTGCAAGCCAGGATTTGGAGGAGCTGCCTGGACCGTATGTCTGGCCTCGCCATGGGGAGGAGGAGGAGGAGGAAGGTTGGAGTTTTGCCTCCTGAATGTCTGTGTTTCACACTGTTGGGAGGGCAGGAGGATGGCTGGCAGGTGGAGATAGACACTGTTTTGTTTCCTGGTCATCTCCCAAAACTTGGGGAATCCTGGCTTGGAAGTGTGCGGAGAGGAGGCTGGGAGTTTTTAAGACCTTTCTGCTGGCTTTGAAATCTTATGGGATTAGCTGCAGCTATGAGGGGCTTAGCCCACCCTGCTTTTGGGTGTGTTTTTTCCTCTTTGTGGTCATCTGGTCTTCTAAAAAAATTGCAGGGGCATGAAAGATTTGGGTGCCAGGAGCAGCAAGGAGAAAGCCGACCGGCCACGGCTGCCCAGGCATCTCCTCTGGGGCTTCAGGTGGGGCTGGTTGGGACGAGGTTTCCCACCTGGGGCAAACAGCAGTGTCCAAACAGCTGGTTTTAGTCCAACCTGGGCTAAATACGATGGTGCCCGTGCTCACCAGGAACATCTTTTTGACCTCTCCGCGTGCAAAATATTTCAAGTGTCCCCAGGCTGCTGGGCCATCCACGGGGGAGGTGGATTTCAGCAATGGTCAGAAGAAGTGGGCTCTCTGTCTTAATTTGCTAATGAGGCCAGTAGTTCCTTATCTCCTGCACGTTGTCCTCAGATGGAGCCTTGCCCGGTGACTTGCATGCACGTAGTATAAAAACGAATGAATTCAAGGACTGGCTCATTGCTGTGTCTTCCCAAGCAACAAGAAAACAAAATCAAAAAGGGATTTGGGATTTTTTTTTTCTTTTTTTGACGTTTTGCTTTTTTTTCCCCATTCTCCTTTCAGCAATCATCGTTTTACCAGCTTCTGCACGCAGGCTGGCCGGTGAGTAACTTTCTGGGCTTTGTTCTTCCCTCGCCTCAGTCAGTTGGGTTGTCCTCCCTCTGAGCTCTTCAGCAGTGAGATCAGTTTTACCCATCCTTCTTTTTTTCTTTTATCCAGAGAAAACCCGGAGCCCCTGGGCCCCCAGGACATCCAGGAAAAACAGGAGCACCTGTAAGGAAGCAAAGCCTGGCTGTCCCCTCCACTTTTGGTGCTGCTTGACCCCGCTGCCATCTCAGCTGGCCCTGGGGCACTTGCAGAGCTGACGTCCCCTGGCACTTGCACAGTCCTGGGCTGCCCCGAAAAGTACCTGCTGCCCAGTGGCTTTGGGAGTGCTGGAGTGAAGGGCCTTGGGGTTGGCTTCCAAAGAAGCCTCATGGTTTGCTTGTCTGCTTCCCTCCGAATCCCAGGTGATGTTTGATACGTAACTCGCTGGTTTTTGGTGGCAGACACAGCCGCTGCCCCTCTCTGCCAGCTGATCCTCCCACGGCCTCAGGG